CTCTGAAAGACTCCTGCAGGTTCTGAACTTATCAAGAAATTAAACTTTCTGTCTGACCCTTAGATCCTGATTTGGATTAGTGAAGAAACTGTTCAGAAAAAAAAGCAAACCATCTTCTGTTCACCATGATGATGAGCATCAGTGTAAACCTTACACAGCCTGACCTAACAGCTCACATGATGGCTCAGAGGTCTTTGACAACTTTGTACTGATGTGTTCATTAACATGACTCCCTCTGGAAGCAGAGCGATAAAAGTTCATTTTATTGATGCTTCTGTTACACACAATCCTCATCCACCCCCCTACAACTTAAAACAGTACTGTGCTAACACAGTACTGTGTTAGCACAGTACTGTGTTAGCACAGTACTCTGTTAGCACAGTACTGTGTTAGCACAGGAGTGGGACATCAGAGCCAGTAAGGCCTTCTTTGCTAGTTTAAACATTCAGTGATCAGTAGTGTACACTTAATATACTAAATAGTTGTAATCATTGACACTAATCTGATATTTAACTTTTGTTTTTTACCTGTACAACATTTAGAAATGTATTTCTCAGGACTGTTCTGATCAGGATTTTTGCTGCCGTTTAGCATTGATCACTGCCATTCACTGACACTGACAATGGCAATTCGAGGATCTGACATTTAAGGGTGCTTAGCCCCCAGCAGGGCAAAGACCCAAGGGAAGATATTTGACAATGCAATTTTCTAAATCACTGCTTATTTCCGTATACTCACATACAAAATTAAATAGTTTTGACCCACTAAAACAGTTAACAACTAACAATTAAATTTAAAACAGAGTGTATAGGCCTGTATCAAACCTGCCAACCAATGTTATAATAGTTTTGGATTTTTCATTATATTTTCATTTTATTTCGTTTTGACTTTTTTCTTTGAATTCAGTTAGTTTTAATTAGCTTTTAGAGCGGATTTGCTAGTTTTTATTGTTTATGTAATGCTTAGTTTTAGATTAATTTAGTTTTTATTACTTCTAGTATTAGTTTTCTTATAGTTTAAAAGAACGTATTTGCCAGTGCATCCTCCTGCTGGAAGATTTTTTAAAAATCTACTCAAAATTATGCATTTTACAGCCATTTGAAGAGCATTTTACTTATTGATTGGATTAACAAAACAGTCTAAGACCAGTTTATTATCAAGGTAAAGTGATGAAAGCTAGTCTTTAACCTGAACTTTATCTGAAAATCATACTCAGAAATTGCGTTATGTTTATTTTTTACCTTAACGTTACATGGCGTTTGCTAAAACATGGCTAGAATCGCCACTGGATATCGATCTCTTGGTTTGACTTAACATTCTTTGAGTTATGAGTGTTATTGGCCAAATGATTTGGAAAAAATAAACCAAGATATCACCTTAATATTTTGACAAAATCATGTTTTTACTTACTTTGTTAGGGATCAGAAAAATTAATCATCTCTGGTGCCTGCAACCTCAGTCCAGGAAAAAAAATGGTGAAAACCTTTGGTTGCTGTTATTGCCCCTGCTCTGGAGGTAACTTTAACAGAATTGAATATTCCAAACAGTAACCAGCACACAAACAATGTGGCAATTTATTAAAATTAGCTGTTTGACTTATGTATTTGTATCAATCAGAGATCTGTTTGTACGGGTCACACTCCTGTCATCTTCAGCCATTCAAGTGAGGTAAGATATTGACTGTAACCTCTGTAATTGGTTTATGTTCTTCCAGTTTTCAAGCAATTAAAGACACCAAACCATTTTATGTGCGAATATAATTGTGTCATTTTGGTGTCCGTCAGGATACTGAAGTTTTTCACACTCCATTATTGGCTGCAACTAAGCTGCAGCCTCAAACTGAGAAAGATGTGACTGAAGAAACTGTCCATCCATTCTAAGGAGTTACTTTGTGTTGTTGCTTCAAAGATATTTTACTACTTTGTATTGCATTCCAAACATTTTAGGTGCTTCATTGATATTAAACCAGTTCATTTGTTTTATCAACAGTCTCAACACTATCAAGATGAAAAGGCTAAAGTCCAGAAAGAAGTCAGTGGGGATTTTTTGTAGCCGAAAATAATGCTGCCTGACTCTGCTGAGGAGGAAATGTATGACAGAAAGTTTTGTGAGTCTGTCTATTTTTAAAAATTTGATTTAATTAACATGATACGGTACATACTGTATCTCTCAGTTCAGTTCAGTTCAGTTCAGTTCAGTTAGTTTATGCACTTCTTTAAAAACAACATAAATTCAACAAACAACAAAGATACAAATCATAACTTAAACGAAAAGTAGCAGAAGAAGAAAAAAATCTTATTATATCTGCCCCTTTATCTCAAAAAATAAATTCAATCAAAAAAAAATTAGTTTACAAAAAAAAAAAAAAAAAGAAAAATGACAAAGGTTTAACTCCAGGAACAACAATTCATAAATTTACATATTTTTTCAGCAAATTAATCTTTATCATTCTCTTAAACACACACATTGGGCCTCATGCAAGAACACGTTCGTATTCTTATCCTAAATTTCTCTTACTTTTGTTCGTACGAAGGGTTCGTACGAACATGTCACGTCAGATTCAACAAACTCTTCTATCTTCAGGAAAAGTGTGTAAATGAGCTGCGTAAATTACACCTGTTCGTATCCAGCTGCTCGTGCACTAGGAGAGGTTATTTACATAATTACCACCCCAAAAACTCCATATAAGGCTGTGTTTCCTGCCTCAGATATCAGGAAGTGTCCATTCATGAACGACATTGCAAAGTAAAAAAGAAGAACTTTACGAGTTCAGAGATTGTAGTCCTGCTCTCCGAGATCAAGAAAAAAACTGTTCTCTTTAGCAGCGTCATGTGGAATTAAAGGAGCTGCTTAAAGGAATGAAATGCGCTGTTAATGTCGTGTCTCCTGTGGGTCGTTACAGTCATGGAAATAAAAATCTAAATCATATTCATCTCTCTCTAGTCCAACTCCGGTTTTTCTTTGGTCAAATATTTTTAATTTAAGTGTAAACAACTGTGTCACTGTGTTTACATTTATTCAGAAGAAGGGTGGTTGCGCACCGCTACCCCGGCCGTCTCCCCCCTCCCTGCAGTCKCAAGTGACAGATGTGGTTCTGAAAAGACGCATTTTAAAAMGTCTCCGAACTTCAATTAATGCATAATTTAAGTTGTTTTTTAGTTTGAGATCTTCATATTAACATTGTAGTGTTATACAACAGCATTAAAAGACAGTTTAACTTAATCTAATCAATTTATGTCGTTAAAATCTAATTCCAGTTCAAACAGAATAACCTACTGTCAACATAATTATGGAGTGTGATTTATTTTCAACTCGAAATATTTTCTAAATAATGAAATATAAAGTTATTAGTGAAGAAAACCCATCTGGATAACAGCAGACTGACTGCTCGTAAAATATACGACAGGTCTGGACCACTCGCAAATTTTGTTCATATCTGAAGAAAATCTTAGAATACGAAAATATTGGTGAATGCCACAAATTCTCCTAAATCACTCGTACGCACAACTTAAGAACAAATCTGTTCATACGAATGGTTCTTGCATGAGGCCCACTGAGCTGACATTTTTAATGTCATCTTCCAGATTATTCCATAATCTTATACCCTGGACTGAAGTATTCCGTTCCTTTAAACTAGTTCTAAATTTGGGTTTAACAAACATCTCTATCCCCTTGAGATTATAACAACTCTCTCTTTTAACAAAGTGTAACTGAATGTTTGAAGGTAATGTGTCTTTAAGAGCCCATACATGACTGATAAAATACAATAATCAACCAAATCATTGAATGTCAATAACTTCAACTGATGGAACAATAAATTTGATGGGTGATAGTAATGGGGTGGCTGTGGTGGAGTGGTTAGGGGAGTCGTCCTGGAACTGGAAGGTCACCAGTTCGATCCCCCATCCAGTAATACACTTCACCCGTCTTGCCTACTGATGGTGGTCAGAGGGTCCAGTGGTGCCAGTGCATGGCAGCCCCACCTCCGTCAGTGTGCCCCAGCCCACTCAAGACATATTATTAAAGTAAGGAAATTATAACCCCAAAATTGTCAACAATGGTGCACTGTTCTGTAAAGCCTTGTAATTCGGTGTATTTTACAAAATGATTTCCTATTCAATGCAAGTGTTACTTCACAATGTAGATTTATTTCAACATAAGTACATCTGCTAATCTGACCCGCCAGTTTTAACCCTAAGCACTCTTCAGACTAATACAGGACACATGAAATGTATTTACACAGCACCCTTCTAACCAACCAGAATACTCAAAGCACTTACCTACCCAGTCTGTGTCCTCATTTACCCATCCATCCACACACACTCATCCAGTATGAGTTTGCTCAGTTAGCAGTAAACTATGGTACACAATGATCATACAGATAGCATTTTATGCGCAAGTTTTATAATTACAGCATTTGGTTTTTCATGTCGTTTACTGTCTACTTGTGACAAAGCAGAGCCCCAGATACATATCCTGCTTAGGGCCCCCAAAGGTCTAGAGCTGGCCCTGCCCCCCACTCATAAACCTATAAACCAAAAGCACTGTCTGCACAAATATTTAAATGTCACCCTTTTGAACGCATCTTATAAAGCCAGGATCACCCATTCAGTGTTAAGTATCATCACTTTAAGCTTTGACCAGTTAACAATCACATTGCGATGACATTATTTTTGAAAATTAAACTTCACTTTGAAATTTCTTGTCACTAAAATATTTGAGTATTAAAAAACATAGGATTGGTAATAATACAGGCAAACAGAATCAATATAAAACCTCTCATTTGTATTTCATATTTGATCATTGAATACACTGGTCAAAGAATGTCACAAATTGGTTCCAAACCAAATAAATTTAAGTCATCTATGTCAACAAAACTGTCTTGTAATTCAAAGATTCATATTTGCAGATAATTTATGATAAACTACAAACATGTAAAAGTGTCACTTTAATAGAATTTGTGGATTTTGGGGACAAAAAAAGGATACATGAAGACACACCTTTGCTTTAACTATGATCAGAAAAATATATGTTAATGTTAGTAATGTTTTATTCCAAAAACTAAAGCAGCAGAAAAAAGCAAATCACAACATAGCAAGTGGCGCTCTCCCGCAACGGCTGATCAAATTTAGCTTCAACACCTGTCCTGTTTTCTCCCACAACCTACTCACCTGTTGGTCAATGTTGTCTCAGTGACCCGGGTCAGGTGATCATCAGACTCGTTTCCCCTCCCTGGTCTTCCCTGCTCCTCCTGCACTCCTCCACTTATATGCTCCTCTCCAGCTAATGGTGGAATTTGTTTTCTTCTTCTCACTTATTCTTCCTCTTCTTCATCAAACTTTTCTTCTTCTTCGGTCTTTGTTGATGGTTGGTAAACAATGATTTGGTGCATTATCGCCATCTACTAGTACTGAGCACAACTACACAACTTTTTTTTCCCTCGTTGCCTGCGCCGGCACAGTGATGCACCGGCCCAGCAGGAAAAGTCCCGGTACTCCCAATGACCTGTCCGTCCCTGCTCCAGTTGCTATTTAGGTTTAGGTCCATCTTCGGTCTGTGATGACTTTCTGCATTTTTCTTTTGTTTCTGTAAAAAATCATGACCCAATGAATCCTGGAATATCGTCTGCTGCGAAAGATACTCAGATGCATACTTCATTTTCGGGGTTTTGTAGGACGTACTTGTTGGCCGAATGAGTAGGCACTCACAAAATTGGACAGACTTCAGCATGGCACAGTGACGTAACCAGTCTACAAAAGTCCTGAAAACGTGTTTTGGTCCCACCCATTCTACATCATTGTGATTGGTCAACTTCCTTCAGTTTCGATCAAACCCATCCTGACAGTTTAACTTTAAATAGCCTCATGCCCTGGCAGGGGATTTCTAATTTTAACTATAGGTTCAGACCTTCAGCTGTATGTTTTGTTTTGGAGTTACAGTTTCTTGCTGTTAAATTACTTTTAGTTCAATATAAAGTTAACAGAAAGCTATGTTGTTTTTCTCATTCAACTAGTTGAAACCAATAGTCATTAGTAATCATTTAAAATTTGGGTTCCTTGCTTGGAAAGTAAATTTATTTGGCTTTAACAAGTGTTTTTCTGTCTGTTTCATAATATATTCAGCTTTAATAAGAAGTTGACTGCTCTAACTGTAGCTTCTCTCCTAGCCCTCCCCTGACCTATCAGCATGATGTTGTTGTAGGGTTGCAGATTAGGGCTGACAATGTCACAGCATATTTTTCCTTTAAAGGGCACTCCTTGACCCCCTGTTGTCAAGAAGGGCAGAGGTTCATACTGCACCCTTTAATGATTAAAAAAAAACTTCTAGCGTCTACCTGTTTTAACCCACCAATTTAAATATTATAAAACAACAAGAGTGTTAGAATTTATTTTGTTGACTCAGCTTCTAGAGAAACAATAGTCAAATTTCCATCAAGGACAGTCTGTTCTTGGAATAATTTTGCATAGTGAATCCATCACAGAATTTGAATATTTCTACCAACATATTCAACTCCAGGTTTGAAACTGGCTTCCTTTTTATTTAGTTTGTCTTTTCTCATTCCATTGTTCCTGCAACAAAATCCCTTGTGCTCATAAATTCGTTTAAAAACAACATAGTTTTTCTATGCTTTTAGAAATATAGAATAGAATAGAATAGAATAGAATAGAATAGAATAGAACAGAATAAATCTTTATTGCACAATGAAATTACAGATTATAACTTTAGATTAGATAATTAAAGATTATAACTTTTTATTATTTCTGTCTAAAGTTACGGGTGTGTTTATGTGACTGCTAACATTCCAGCTGCGCTTGGGTCCAAATGATACACAACTGAGGCCTCATGGGTCAGTTTAAACCAATGTCATTTTTTGGGTTTGACTAAAATGGCTGCAATTTGATCATTTCTCAATAAAAGATAATACTATACTTGGTACAATAGTTAAGGAAATGTATACGAGAAGATCAAAAAAGTGTCAATAGCAACTTCAAAATTAAATTGTTTGACAGATAAGATTGGGTAATGTGAAAACCCACATACTCAGCTCTGCTCATCCCACAAATGCATGTTCCTTACAAATGTGGTACCATTTAAAAGAGTCATTAACAGGCTTTCCGACACTATAAAATGTATTGCCAACAAGTATTGTTACAACAAAGAAATAATGTACCAAACACTAGTTCTCTTAATTTTTGTGCTAAGTTTAGTTTTAAAGTCTGGTATGAGAGGCTGCAAGTGATATTGAGTCCATCAAGGGGTGCAATGTGCCACTTCCTGTTATTGTTTATCTTAGAAGATAACCATCACCTGCAAGTTCATTTGCAAGTTTAACGATTTTAATGACCATTCTTTTCAAATTAGTTCTGAAACATGGCAGACAGGCATTTTTTTTAACTGGCTTTTTAATAAATTGACAGCCATGTCTCTTATGGCTTTGTGAGATTTGATTAAAGAAGTGAAACTAGTGGGGGTGTAGATTAGAGCTGACTAGTGCATGGGACATCTATTTTTTAAATTTTATATTACCAATAATATTTTGCCAATATGCTGCATAGCTTTAATTACTGCACAACCTTCAGTTATCGTCTCCAACTGTTTTGTTCCCGTTCACCTTCAGGCGATATAGTGATGAAATTTATCCCTGTGTGTGATTGTCTGTCTGTCAAGTTACCAAAATATCTCAACATTGGACAGATTTTAATTAAACTTTCAGAAAGTAATTGGTTGTTCATCTACAACTGCGTCCATTTTGAACATAACCCTTTTCAAGTTGGTTGCCACAGCTCAGTAAACTTAGCGTATCAAAAATGGCTACATGAGACCACACAAAGACAGTTGTTTTGGTCAAACCTTGTACAGTTTACACGGTCTGAATTAAATTGTTTTAACTCTGTTTTTTCCCACATAGCAGACAGGTGTGGGCCAGAATTGGTGTCAAGCAATATAGTGATGCGTCTGATGTCAAGGAGGCTCTGTTCGCAAGTGGTTATGCCGGATGTGGGCCAGGTCTGGCAAGGAAGGCATGGGTTTTAAGATGGCATGCCACAACTTGTGTTAGATTTTTATGTTCCAAATCTGTCACTGCCACAACTGGCCCTGTTGTGGTTTGGTTTATGTGGCCCTAGTCTGTCAATAACACAACTGGCCCAGTTGGGGTTTGCTTTATGGCCCAAGCATGTACCTCTTGCAAACCACATCTGAGTCACTATAAGGGCCATCATTCTTTGCTGTATCTGGATCGAGGGTTGGAATGTTTAATGCCTTGTCTGGGCCAGAACCAGGCCAGACAAACTTTGCTATGGGTTCTCATCACAAGATAAGTTTACTCTAAAACCTGGTGAGTGATATGTGTTCCTTCAAGTAATGCAAGTATTTAATGAAAAAAGTGTTCAGTGTACATACCTTCATTTTTCTCTACCACTCTTGGACAGCTTTCTGAGGGACTTTATGCAAATAGCATGTCGTACAAATGGGTTTGTTCATCACTTTCAGATTACATGTTTTTTTTTTGTTCCCACATCCATACTGTTTTATTCAGGATCTTCAATAAATGAATGGTAGATCTGACGTTTGTAGACTGCAAGCAAACCTCACTGAAAACTTGACAAAATACACTCAAATTTGAGTTAAATCAAGTTACATTATGTGTTTACTTCATTATAATAAATATGCTCTCACTCGGCTACGTTAAAAGCCCGGAGTTGACATGCAGAGTAGCTGTTATCCACTCTGCGCTAAAATGCATTTCAATGACTTTTATTGATGCAGATTTTGCTTGGCATCTGCTTTATAACAGTTTAGGCTTAAATGCGCCTGGGCCTCTGCCTTTATCATTTGATAAATGTTACTCCCCTGAGTGCACGTCAAGTCCTCTTACAAGAATTCCACCGCTTTTACCAAAAGCAGGAAGTAATCTAATTATGAATACAACAACAGTTTACACACCGTCCGCCTTTGTGGCTGTAATATAAACAATGAAACAGCAAGCATCCAGACCTCAACTAATGGAGTACCAGAGCAAACACTTTCATTTAATCACAATCCTTTCTTTCAAAGCAAACTGGCCAAGCAGCAGAGGATGAGAGGCTAATGACCCATGAGCAATAAGCAAGTGTTACATCGAATGTACTCTTGCAAAAAAAAAAAAAAAAAGAGGAAAGAAAAGCTTTTACTAAATAGCCTATCAATATTTTAAAGCAAAGCCTCTATGGCTTTCCCCTCTAACTGGATTAGCAGTGTGATGTGTTCTGACAGTATGTTGTTAGTGATACTCCATTTGCTTTGTCTATCATCTGATTTTCCCTTGGTAATCTACAGAGCACTGTTATATTTCATAATTTGTTTTGCTATCAGGGTTGATTTGTAAATGTGCAAATTCTAATTAGTTGTAGCCACTGTTTCTAATTTGTTAAATATTAAATGATTCCTGTGGTGGAGTATTTTATTCACATCCCCAAGATGAAAGTTTACCGTATGCAAATTCAATTGCCTTTTAGATGTTAGCAGGTTTTTTTTTCTCAAATGTCCCATTTTGCTTGTGAAGCCATTTTCCTGTGGTTTGTTTGTCTGTCCCTTGATCCACTTTAAGTTCCTATTTATTCATCTCTGATCTCCACTTGTGTTTCAGTTTTCATCACAACCTGCACACCCTGTTATGCACCAGTGCCACTGCTTTATTTAGCATCATTATTGCTATCTGAATAATCTGTTTTAGTTGCTAATAAAGAGCTGGTGTCTGACTCGCTCTTTGAAGTGAACTTTTGTTCTTACCAACTTAGAAACTCTGTTTCTGATGAGGACTGTTGCACGTACAGTATTTTTGAAAGCAGTCTGGTGTGATTGCTCAGATAATAGATTGAACTTTCTGGGATCTCGAGGTGGTTTAGTTAAGCCTGGGTTGAATCCCCGGTTTGGACCCGGGGTCTTTCATTGTGGAGTTTGCGTGTTCTTCTTGTCTTTGTGTGGATTTTTTCTGGGTACCCTGATTTCCTTTCACAGTCCAAAAACATGCCTGTTAGAATGGCTTTATCAGGCCTCCCTTGCAAAAAATGGTGATTTTATTGGGTTTTGCCTGGTTGGAATGGGGTAAATTAACAAGTCGTTTAAACTGAACAATGTATTTGAGCTAATTCAGAAGTGAAATACACTTAGACAAATTTGCACACTGGAGCAACCCATTCTCATTCCCAACTCTACACACTTACACTTGGTCAGGTACTGCCTGCCTCCGGTTTTGGCACATTGGGTAAGCCTGTTGTGTTAGTTAGACAATGCATGACAACTAACATCCCAGACCCTAAATTAAACTTTTATTAACCCTAGACATCCTATCCCTGATCTCACTACTTAAAATT